AAGAGAAGGGGGTGACCTTTTGCGTCTTGACAGTAGATCTTAAACGATTTTGAAACTAAAAACTTAAAATTCATATACTAAGTAAGCTTAGGTACTCAACACTAAAATTTGATATTGGATTTAAGTGAAAATTCAGCCTACATATCATAGGACTTTTTATTCTGAGTAATTTGATACTAAATTTACTGCAACTGTATGATAATAATATTTAAAGACGCTATGAATATTTCAAATTTATATTTTTGTAGTGTATATCTCGAAATTTGAAAACACGATTTTAAGAGATAGCTCACACATAACCCAACTTTGCTACGCAAACCTAATTCTTCAGTAAAGAGTCACTGGAGCAAACTAATTTATAAGCTCTATTTTTTTCATAGACATTTGACAATTCAAAATGATCTTAATATGGCCTACAAAATGGCACAGAAGCCAATTTCACACGTTTGCTAAAGGGGGGGGGGGGGGGGAGGCAAAAACGACAAAATTTCAGCAACTTCAAATGCCACAAAAACTGACCTATGATCGATAGATACGCATTGTATACATCAAATTAAAGATAACGAAAAACTCTTTTGCATGAAATTAAAAGTAATTACAACAAACGTCAATGTAAGCATCTCCTGGGTCTTCAAAATACCTATATAAAGACTGATAAATATGACAATATTTCAATTTGCCCTAAAAAAACATTTATCATTGACAGAGACACATTATATACATCAAATTTAAGAGAAAGCAAAGCTCTTTTACATAAAATCAAGAAGAGCAGACTGAACAGCAATGCATTCATCTCTAATCTTCAAAATAACAACCATAATATTGTAACCAAAAAAACTGAATAAAATAGTCCTACAATCTTAACACATTTTTACAGATTCACAATTTTGAGGTGCAAGATTTCATTCATTGAGTTAAACTTATATGCAAGGCAGAATAATAGAAAAAAAATACCTTCGGTATGAAAGGGCAGCGAAAGCAAAAGCAAAAAAAAACAAACCAAAACCCAAAACATAATCAATCATCCAACACACAAAAGTGCAAGATAACTTAATCAACTTGAGGGATGCTACTCCTGCTGCTGCTACTACTGCTACTGCTACTGCTACTGCTACTGCTACTACTACTACTACTACTACTACTACTACTACTACTACTACTACTATTATTATTATTATTATTATTATTATAACGCAAGATACAATGCCCACAATGCGCTTTGAAATACAAAAAATATAGTTCCAGACCGTGATCTCTCTCTCTCTCTCTCTCTCTCTCTCACACACACACACACACACACACACACACACACACACACACACACACACACTCTCTCTCTCTCTCTCTCTCTCTCTCTCTCTCTCTCTCTCTCACACACACACACACACACACACACACTCTCTCTCTCTCTCTCTCTCTCTCTCTCTCTCTCTCTCTCTCTCTCTCTCTCTCTCTCTCTCTCTCTCTCTCTCTCTCTCTCTCTCTCTCTCTCTCTTTGTATCCAAACAGGGTTATTTATTTTCCTTCCGATACTGTGGGCAATCGTTACCCCACGCTACAGCTGTCTTAGACGAAGAGACAGCAAGGGACTGCACCTAGGCCCACAGAGGTGTGTAGGCTCAGCCTAGGGCCTATCATGTCCCGCAGTTGATTTTAATTTGGAACACAACGTACATCCTTGATTTGCCTCATCTATAGGCACGAAGTTCTGACGTGGTAGATCATGCCTTGTGCTGAGAGTGCCTTGCATAGCGAGTTTTGCGGTATATTGAGGGTCAGAAAAAAAGAATGTGTCGGCAAATCACTGACCCTCCTCTTCCTTCCCCATGCCCCTTCCAGTCAGTCTTTGTCCTGTTACCTATACGTTCTTATACTACCTGACCGTCTAGCCTGTTACAGTTACTGAAGGGCACCAGCTGCGTGAGGAGCTATAGGGCCGCCTCAAGGGGCAGTGGAAAATTGCGCAGGTTTTAAGTCCTATTGTTAAGTCAAGGTTGGGATTCTGATCGGACCTCAACTACCTCATAATCGATACCACACTCAAAAACCTGCGCAATTTACCGCCATTATAAGGAAGAGTGGCTATTGTGTAATCTTTTGCATAACCTGATAAAGCTACGCAATTTTTCGTCCCCCGTCTCAAGTACTGTATTGATGAGGAGTGATTGAGTGCCAGATGGCTACATTACATTGACCCCATTACATTGACCTTTGTTTGTTCAGTAAAGTGACTGAGGTATTTTGACTAAATTATCGGCCGGGATTGGAATTTACCCACCTTGTTTAATCCGAAGTAGATCTATAAAAAATATCGGGTTTTGTAAAGTTTACCCGTATCCTCACCGGGTTCATTCCGCGTGGGAATGGGTCCCCAAATCTGAATACGGCTCTTTAATTGTAATATAACAACTAAACAAACATGAATTTCTCATCAAGTGTACAAAAAAGGCAAATAATATACTCACTAATAAAATCTTTGTGATCCATCGTTCAAACATACTCCAAAAAGTGATAGCAAATTATATTATGAACAAAGCTACCATGCGCTTATGGGCGGCGCACCGACGTGGCTCTTGCCTGCAGATTCTCATCTCGCTTTTACTCGGCCAAAGAAAGTTTCTAAGCTTCGGTGCTTTCATCTCGCGTATTGGTCCTAATACTTGAGGGATGCTACTCCTGCTGCTGCTGCTACTGCTACTGCTACTGCTACTGCTACTGCTACTACTACTACTACTACTACTACTACTACTACTACTACTATTATTATTATTATTATTATTATTATAACGCAAGATACAATGCCCACAATGCGCTTTGAAATACAAAAAATATAGTTCCAGACCGTGATCTCTCTCTCTCTCTCTCTCTCTCTCTCTCTCTCTCTCACACACACATTCTTATAGAAAATTGGATTAGATTTTCAGCCATATTATAGTTTTCAAACTCGAATAATGTTTCAACGAAATTCACTCAATTTTTATGCACTTTGAGTTAAAATTGGCCCACTAAAAATATACTGAAAGAAACCAATTTAAGAACTTTAAATGGACTTAGATCTAACCACATTATAATCGATTCAGTACGACCGGAGCACCGACTTTTTGAAAACGAATGGGTCGTGGAGATTCAACGACTTTGCGTCCGAAAAATGCAGAAAAGTCGATTTAGTGCCAAACTTCAACCCCTGAAATGAATACTAATTTTTTATCAGTTCACTTATATGATGTTTTCAAATTAAAGATTTATGACGAACATGTTTATACGTAGTATGACATCTTTAAAGTTTCCTGGGACGGGAAGCGAGATACAAGCCAATTAATTCTCCTCATTTTTGCTGCGGTCACCCGCCAAGCGCCATTTGCGCCCAGTATTGCATACTTATTTTTAAAAATTATTTATTTTGAAGTAACAACTTCCTACTTAAATTAAGGGGGGGGGGGGGGGGCTACACCCCTAAAATCAAAATTCGGCTCAAAATCATGGAATTTGAGTTGATACCATTTTTAGCTTCCTCAGCCTCTCCTACAACTATTTCATGGCATAAGAACCCCCAAAAACCGTATTTTTTCACAAACCGGGCATGTTTGTAACCGCCATTTATTCATAAAGTCAGTATTTAATTTTTCTTTATCGGCCGTTTTCTCAAAATGCGACTTTTCTCTATACTTTTTTGAATAACTCCACCATTTTTCATCCAATCTTCATGAAATTTTCACAGAATGAAGAGAAGAGATAATACTAAAAATCTGTCTGTTGAATTTTTGATATATGGAATAGATTTTTGTTGGTGGTGTCTGGAGTGTAGATTTTCACGGATTTTTCGCAAACTTGAATGTTAACTCAGGAAAAATTCATTAAAAATTTTCTAATTCGATTAGGAAAAAAAACAACAGACAAATTTTTAGATTTAATGTTTGTGAACACGCATGCAAAAAAAACTATCAATTTCCTGGAGCGATAAGTGCGGTATTCATTACGTAAGACATGTCAATAAAATCCAATATGGCGGCGTATCCATGGAAACGAAACTTTTTTCTCAAATTTGATTGCGGAGTGTAAGACTCCTTACTATGCTTGTTATATGTGTGAAATTTGGTAAAATTCGGTCCAGTAATAAGCGAGATAGCCTCCAGGTGTAGCCCCCCCCCCCCCCCTAAGGACATTTCACTCCTTTGACGAACCGCTTTTTTAACGATTTTACAAGGCTCTTTGCCGAGGCTAAAAATGTTTTAACTCACTTTCAAACAATAATGCTCAGTTAAGTGCTCATAGTAACGTCTTTCGTCATCTGACTCACATCTGTAGAATAGCATATAGCATAATTTTTTTAAAGCAACAACCCCAAAACATTATTTCGCTTATCTGTATTTCAAATATGGCTCATAGCCCAAATAGAAGAAAAAATATGGTCATTTAAGATACTAAATGTATTAAGTAACAAAGACATTAGTGGCGTTCATTTATGTACTTCAAAGACAAATTAATACATTTTTAGAGCCACAAATTAGAATGAATTAGGGGCGTCTATGAAAAACAATAACAACATGAATTTTGAATTTCAATATAGACAACATAAATGATATGTTGATGAGTGGATAGTGCAATCTGGAAAATCAAAAGAACGTTAAGTAGTAGTAAAAGAAGAAGAAGAAAAAGAAGACGAAGAAGAAGAAGAAAACAAAACAACAACAGAACAATAAGGAAGACGACGACAACAACAACAACAACAACAACAACAACAACAACAGCAACAACAAAAATAATCAGAATAATCAGAATAATCAGAATAATCAGAATAATCAGAATAATCAGAATAATCAGAATAATCAGAATAATAACCATTAAGTGCAGACATTATTAACATGAAAACAACAGAAAAGGTTGAGGTTTCTTCACTATCGTTAGTCTTTCACGAGAATAGATAGACACATTTCTCTCTATTTTTGCTTTTTTTCCCCCATAATTACTTTCTTTCCTAAATGATCGTATTTCTGTTGATGTTCTTTTCTTCACCCTTACGTTTACTTCACTCTTATTTTTTTTCTTTCGCTCACTGGCTCACAAACTCGTTTGTGTCCGCAAAGCTACTCCTCCTCGTCCCTGTCTCGACAAATATCCCGAGATATAATATGGTATTCGCCAATGTGAAGGTCAGTCGCCTTGGTGCAGTTGTTTCTGAAAGTTGCCAAAACGAGAGGATAGAGACGAGAGGATAGAGACGCGAGAGTCTGAGTGGATACCAGATCAGTTCTTTAGCAGTCTTGTTTGTAGCAAATTTCTTCTCATTCTGGAGTGTTGACACAAGGTTGAAAAAGTTTTTTTGGTTTCGGAATGACTTAGTCCGTAAAAAAAAAGTATAAAAGTGCCCCCTCATCCCCTCCCCCCAAAAAAGTTTTTTTTAATCAATACAATTTAGATGATTTCGAAGGCGGATTATTTCGACCCTGTCTGCGGCTGAAAGGGATACACATGTATAACATCCCAACAGAAACACCGAGATACTCGATAAAACTTTTCTCCTCGCTGGGGAATCGAACTGAGTCTCCTTGGTGCGACATACCTAGTCCGTGGCCAGTAATGTAAATTGTTTTGAAAATGACGGCGACCTACTCGTACAACGGGAGTAAAGCTAGCTACATGTATTCACTTAGCTCCCAGCTGGAACGACGGAATTGGCACTTGTGTTTTTCATTATTGAGATGTAACGCAATAAAAAGTGACATATTAGGGTTTGGTCAAGTCATTTTTTTTTCGGACGGAGCACCTCGCTCCGTCTTCAGGGCACTCTGCTGAATAAAAAATGTACTACGTTCTATTAGATAGTTTGCTTTCTAACTATGCCACTGCGACTGACAATCGAGTAATTATGTTTTTGCTTTCTTTTCAAGCAAAAGTTTTCTCCCTGGTTATCCAAACAATAGGGGTCACGATGGAGCGGAGATAAAACATCCATAAAAATAACTGGGACAATGCTGTCCTAGGAATTGGATCTAGGACGATATGGTCATTGTTCAGGGTGTAGCCAAGTTGGAAGAGGGCATACGGCAATGTCAAAACAGCGTATAGAACAGCAACTACGACCAGGGTGCTTTGCTCATTCCTGACTGCCGCCGACAGTTGTTGATCTGAGGCTGCTTGTGTCGAGCTCACTGGTGTTTGGATCACAGCTTGTGAAGGGGGCATCGGTTGTGGAGGGTAGGCGGGTTGTTTGAGACCAGGGTCATGTGGACCACTTACGTAAGCCGGTGGCTGAGAGGCGGGGTAGTATGGCTGTTGTGCTGTTGCTGGTGGTGGCATGGGTTGGTTTTGCTGTTGTGGGGATCCTGGATAGTACTGTTGTTGTGGGGGTCCTGGATAGTACTGCTGTTGTGGGGGTCCTGGATAGTACTGTTGTTGTGGGGGTCCTGGATAGTACTGCTGTTGTGGGTATCCTTGAGCGTTATACGTCACCACTGTCTGACTAACTACTGTACCTTGAAGTTGGGAAGTGTTGTAATACTCAGACATGGTCTTAACGTTCTTACAGCTGGTCATGAGAGCGAAGATGACAGCCAAGGCAGATGGCAAGACAATGCTAACGACATAAATAGCTCTTACCCGGTCAAATGTCATGGAACCACCATACGAACACTTCAGATCATCATATCCATCCAAATATAAGGGCACGATAAAGATGAGTCCAGCAATCCAAGGTATCGCAGCCACCAGTAAGGACGATACGTAAGGACTGGAAATCAAAGAGCGAAGTTTTTTCCGGAAACCGAGTTCCCCACAGAGGACAATTATACCAACTCCATACACAAACGGGAGGAAAGATTCTGAATACATGGAAGAAACAGTTGTTGTTTTACATGATATATAGAATCTTTCTTTAAAGGAAAAACGAGCTAAGATAACCAAAGAAAACAAAGCCAAGAAAATGTCACCCCCAGCGAGGGTCATAACTAGGAATTTACGTTGACTCTGGAGTAACCGCCCTTTACGGAGGAACTTGAACAGCAGGAAAATATTGGATGCAAGAATTCCTATGATAAAAATAACCACCAACCCTTTTCTGGCCTCTGACAGAGCTTCATCGTCGACCTGTGCCGCCATATCTATCACTATCTTTCTGTTTTAGAATATCTTGTTTGCAGCTTGTGTAGACAATTGCGATGGGCAATAATGATCACCAAATCGTATTCAATCCTCCGTAATAAAATGCTTTGAATTTGAAGATGTTCAGAATACGGTTCTGGGACAGGCACAAGGAAATCTGAGAGCCTGGGGATGAAACGTGGGGGGAAATGTTTACAAAGTAGCCATGATGCATCGTTCAACACGTGTTTATGAACATATAATTTATTAATATTCTGCTTCCTTGATTGCCTTGCCTAATGAGGTCAAACGTCAACAGAATGTTCTCAAACCTTAAGGGCCAATCGAATAGTACGAATAAAATTGGGGGCAAGGGAAGAATGGGGGGTCACTAAAAGGCGCTTAACGCGTTTCACGCAGTTACATAATGCTCTAATCAGGTTTTATTTAGTTTTGGCTAAAGATTAATTTACAAAACAGCAGACACGGGCCTCCTGCAAGGATCTGCTTTCCTTCCGTTTAGTTTGAAAAACGTTGGACAGCCCTCGAAACTGCATAATAAGGATGAATTTAAGCCCACCAGATTTTCCTCCAAAGAAAGACAAAAGCTACGATTTCGGTACAATACAACCGATTCGACTCGCGACCTATTTGATTTTGAAGCTCACAATTGAGTCAAATTCGGTCTAATGGTACCAATATTGTTGCTTTTGCTCCACTTATGCAGAAATTCTGCCTGGCCCCAACTCAACCCAATGAATTCGATTGGCAGTGTGAACTCGATATGTATTAGCTATCATCAACCTTGTGCTCTGGAACTCAATATTGTAACTGATACTTTGGTGTAAGGAGAAATCTCGGACGATAGAAATTGAGAGATGTTGAGAGGGGCAACCAGAACTTGGTATGCGTTGTGGGCCCGGCGGGGGGTTGGTTGGGGGGGGGGGGGGTAGAACTCGTATGTACGGGGAAAATAATGCACAGGGTGATCAAAAAACAACAACTGTACAACTTTCTTTCTGAATATCTCGCATAAAATGTGTACTAGAATGTTGTAATTTGGAACAGATAGTATTCATTTAATAGGAATTTGTTTTACATAAAATTCACAAATAAGAAACCTATTTTTGAAAACGGAAATGGCTTTTTATAAAAACCACCTATAAAAACAAAATGTACCAATTTAAAAGATCTTGCAAAAAAAGTCACAGAATGCTTGGTTTGGTTGTTTTTTTTCTTTTAATTTATTTTTAAGGTATAATATTTCCATCCCTGTAACCTTTGAACAACGTTTCTTTTCTCCCACAGAGGTGAAAGAATAATATGTTAAATTCTGAAATTTCGAAAACAAAAGGCCTGGACTCGACACATTTTAACGCGTCCTTCTTAATGTACAGTGGAGGCCAAACACAAGGATCCACTCAACCATGAGTACTCAAAGCCACTTATTACACTGTACACCTTACAGTATAGAGCTGTTTCTAGAGGCAATAAGGGGTGGGGTGAGGTTGCCGAAATAGGTTTGTGGGGTTGATATAACCTGAAAGGAGTACAGGCTTTGCCAAGGAATCAAACGTCATAGAGGAAATGCTCACGCTTTTCAAGACGATCAATGAATCATGAACACATGGCTATCCTCTGATAACTCCGCGAACAGTCACCATTGTACAGTCGTAGATGAAGATCTGCCTTGAGAATGCGGACCGTTGAGAAGCAAGAAAGTCATTGCTGCCGATATCATCTACGGACAGACGTGTCATAGGGCTCATCTACTGAATTCTGCACCCTGGTGACGTTTAAAGGGATGCAAACGGTGTGTGTTTGACCTAAAGTGGTTGTTTTGTCTGGGAATTTTTAGTTCTGATTCTCTACTGGTCCTTACTTTTTCACGTTTGACATTTTTTAAAAAGGCCGTAAGGACACTTTCACATTATTTTCGTTCCTTGTGCGAAACTTACGAGATGAGTTGGTGGTGAGGAAATATTCAATACAAAAAGCTCTCCGCACTCTACTAATCTTAACCACAATCTCAGCAGGCAAATGAAACGTGAGAAAAACTATCTGCAAACTTTTGTTGGACTGTTAGACTACCGTAGTTTGCAATATGGCGCAATTGTTGGGATTTTTAATGGTAGGCCTAAGGCGAACTAGTGCGTCGTGCTACAAAAATGGGGATATGGCTGAAAATGGGTTGTTGTTTTTACACGCTATGCAGGGCAAAACTATTCTGTGGATATATCTAAAACGGATATCAGACAAATTCTTTTTGGCTTCCAAATGTTGTGTACAAATTTGAAAAGCAAAACTTCACTGTGAAGGAAAATATTAACAAAAGAAGTTGAAATGTTTTTTGGGGGTATCACCCTGTACTTCTACTTCGAGATAATTCTAGAAATATTGTATTGTATTGGCCCATGTTAAAGCTCATCTCAATCTCAACAACCTATTATAGATTTTCTAATCAGCTCATAAAGAGCTTCATAACGGTAAGACTGCTCTTCAAGAATGTAAAATTATCTTTTAACTAAAGCTGACAATGAGAAATGATTTATCCTTGCAGTTTTTATATCTCAGAGCTACGTTTGAAACGACAGACTATTCGATTCTTCTAGAATGTTTATGCAAAACTATTGACTCTTCTAGGACTGTATATATTTATGCCATAATACATGGGATTGTTTAAGCATTGCACTTCCGGTGAAACAAATCTTTACATTTCACACATGAACCATAACAACTTAATGTCTCACGCATGAATTATCAACCGTAATCAAAATTGGCATAAATTACTCCGTGCACTATATTCACCTTATAACCTTTTGTATTCCTAGACCGCGCATTGCAATGGCAGCTACTCTTTGTCCTTTAAAATAACTTGGCTATCATTCGCAATCAAATGAAGATAGATTAAATAGCCTTTAAAAAACTTTGCGTTCTTTAATGGCGTTCAATATATATGTATATTCATGTGTGTGTGTGTGTGTGTGTGTGTGTGTGTGTGTGTGTGTGTGTGTGTATACCAAGGCAAAGTCACATTTCTGTAAAAACAGACTTCTAGAAAATAACCTGAATCTGCAGAAAAGCGCCGTCTAATAAGAACAATATTACATCTCTACATCTCTCTACACTGTAGCCCGAGTTGCTCGCAATTGAATGGGGCGGCAAGCCTTTAACTTTAAACAATAAAGCTAGGTCCATGTTACAAACGTATTCCTTTGATAATTGTTAAGCGCATAGAGCTTGCCGTAGAACATGGATGTGCGCTATATAAATTAAAATAATTGTTATTGTGATTTATTATCGCAGTTCTTTCCATCACATTATGTCAAAGATGGCAGCTGACACGGCTTAATGATGAGATGGTAAAATTTCAAACACAGCATGTCATTGCACTGTGCTAAAGTCAGGCTTCCAAATCAATGCATGGTGTCGGTAAAACACGCCTTTGCATGAAAAAACAAACAGAACTACCCAAGGATCTAGGAGTAAAGCGTAGAAAGATAGTTGAACAGAAAATAAGATTAGTCCTTACCTGCGATAAGCTCACTTGTCCACATAAAAGAAAGCGACAAGGTTGTGCTATACTGCGTTTGCTCTGCGCCTTTTATACCTTGGTTTCCCCGGATGCGAGGAGTGGCCTGAGTTATGGCTATATCGATACCGTTCGACCCGATTCTGATCGTCTCGTTTGTGGTGCTTCATTGGTTTATATTTCAATATAATGATACTTAGCGCTTTAGTTTAGGACACAATATATCACTATAAGAAATAACGTTGTCTATTGTTACATTACGCGAAAGCGCCCACAGTCGACCAAGACTTGAGGTGAGGAAGAGAACCAATTTCTCTTTTCAAAAACCTCGATTGTACCAAAGATAGTAAATAACAAGATGGGCCACTCAGCCAAAAAAGTGTCCGCAGGAAGTATGCTCTTTGCTTCAGATGGCGCTGCAGTCTGTTTTGAAGCTCTCTTTCGTTTTTCCAGAAGAAAAATAGGAATAGCACCTCCTTGCGTGCGCAGATCGACTGCTGTTCATCAGCAGTTCGGGTACGTTCAGTGCGGAGTTTTAGGGGGGGGGGGGGGGTTTATGACCTCTCACCTTTCATTCTAAAGTCAAATTAAACGAAGAAAACCATCACACTTTCCTCCGGAAGAGGTTTTTTGTCAGCGTAACCATTTTTAAAAAGCGTTCTTCTTAAATTTATCCCAAAACTTGCTAGTTTCACTTTGATTTTTTAAAACTCAAGTAGGGTAACTCTGTTCGCAAAGAATGCGCTTTTGTGAAGAGGGCGCCACCAAATTTTGAGGACACTTTTTTAATTGGCTCAAAGAGAGAAGTGGCCCATCTTGTTATGTACTATCATTGATTGTACCAAAGATTCGGTATAACAAGATGGTTCACTCCTCTCTTTGAACCAATTAAAAAAGTGTCCTCAAAATCCTGTGGCGCCCTCTTTAAAAAAGTGCCCGCTTTGTGAACAGAGTTACCCTACCAGTTTGGAAAAAAATCAAAGTGAAACTAACAAGTTTTTGTATAAATTATAATTAAAAGTTAGGAATAACGCCTTTTAAAATGGTTATGCTGACAAAAATCCTCTTCATGTGGAAGGGGCGATTGTTTTCTTCGTTTAGAACGAGAGGCGAGAGGTCATTAAAATAAATAAAATAAACCCAAAACTCGGAACCGAGCGAGCCGGAACAGGTGATGCACAAGGGGATGCTATTCTTTTTGTTATTCTGGAGAAACGAAAGAGAGCTTCAAAACAAAGACTGCAGCGACATCTGAACCAATTCGCGGACTTCCGCAGACACATTTTTGGCTGAGTGAACCATCTTGTTATGTACAATCTTTGATTGTACCAGAACACGCCCGAGTACTGGAATAAATTGGTCGCTTTTAAGGACAAGCGGGTTAACCCAGATTCAGGGGTTTCAAGAAATCTTGACCTGTCCCAAAAGTGGGCATTGTCCTACCTAAAGGAGAAGTTTGGTTTCATTGGTGTGTATATTTGTTTGGTTATAGAGAAAACTCTCCTTGTCTTTTAAAGAAACTGAACAAGGGGAAAAAACTTTACCTTCGATTTTCTCAAAACAGCATTTTGCGGGATAGCTTAAAAGCGACCAAATATCGTCGGTGCAATTGAGGACGAAGGACTAAATATTCCGATATTTGGACTACTTTTGCCGTGTCACTTTTTTAGCCTCGCTCCTTATATTATGTCAAAGGGGAGCTGGGGAGAAGTGGGACACAGGTAAACTGGGTAAACCGGGAAACACTACTTATTGCTGTTAAAATCTACAAATGAAGGATTTTACTTGGGTTTTTTTCTTCTCATTTTCTCAAACTATTTCATCTCATTCAGTAGCTCCTGGGTTCAATTCCAAATAGCGACGGAAATTTTTCTTCTCTATATGTGTCTCCTTTCACCTCCTTTCCTGCTCTCTAGAAATCTTCTATCTTCTGCTTGTGCCTCCATTTTCTACCCCCACCCCTCACCTCCTATGCCGCCTCTCTGAGCTCCAGACTCTTTCTGCAGCCTTCCTACTGCTACTCCCTGATCTTATGGTAGGAACGATCTACACCTAGCCTTCTCGGAAGAAACAATCCTGGAGGTCCCGAGTACAAGTTGGGCCCTTTAGTGATCTAAAGTCGATAAGAATAGGTTTCAGAAGCCACCCTGGCAAGATTCAAAATGTCCTACCAACTGAAAATGTTTCATGTGTCCGCGCGCTCATTTGGCCATAATGTGCTGTTGCGAGCACCCTAAAACACTTGCAAAAAAAGTTTTCCATTCAAAAGTGAAAAATATTTTTTAATGAATCATTATCAGTAACGTAATTATACAAAGGCCGCCGGTATTTTCACGACATGTCGTGAAAAAAAATATACGCACATTTTCGCGATTTGTTTTTCTCTTTGGACCAATCAATGAGCAGCTGGGTCATGCCACTCATGCCAGAGGGCATCTTTCTGCCCTCTGCTGGCCATGCTACTCTCTTCTCTCTCTCTCTCTCTCTCTCTCTCTCTCTCTCTCTCTCTCTCTCTCTCTCTCTCTCTCTCTCTCTCTCCCTCTCCCCCTCTCTCTCTCTCTCTCCTCTCTCTCTCTCTCTCTCTCTCTCTCTCTCTCTCTCTCTCTCTCTCTCTCCCTCTCCCTCTCTCTCTCTCTCTCTCTCTCTCTCGCTCTCTCTCTCTCTCTCAATAAGAACGGCGGATGCAAATCCCCATTCCTTCGAAGTGGGACGAATTTTTAAAGCGTATCGTGAGTTTGAGGAAGAATTTCGGAAGTACTGCGGTACAAAGTATGTTTTCCGCAAAAAATCCTCGAAATCAGTCACCGCCAAGAACAACACAATCAAAGACGAGTCGAAACACTACCCGGCGGAGTGGCAGTACTACAAGCTCATCCTGTTCTTGATTTGTAAATATTTATATATATATATAAATATATATATATATATATATATATATATATATATATATATATGATATGATATGATATGATATGATATGATATATATATATGTGTGTGTGTGTGTGTGTGTGTGTGTGTGTGTGTGTGTGTGTGTGTGTGTGTGTGTGTGTGTGTGTGTGTGTGTGTGTGTGTGCGTGGAAGCTACGACAGCACGAGCAGAGACACATCAGAGACACTGCACTTAGGCTTGATTTTATAGTTTTTTGGAGGTATATATACAGACTGCAACAAAAGTTAACAACCACTTGCAAACACTCTGAGTGGTCTTCTTGGGTCGACCTACACGTGGGCGTTCTTAGACTGATCCAGTGGCTTGAT